TTCTCTTCTGTGCTCTTTCATTTTGAGACATGGAAGTAAAACTAAATTCATTGAACTTTCGCATGAAAATGCTCTCAAGGTTATCAACTTTGCCGCCTGTCCGGTTGGCGATCGTGAAACAACAACAAAGGCGTTGACCACGTCGTCGTAGAACGTTGTTCTCTATGGTGTTGTAGTTAGTTGTTGTCGTTGTTGTTGTTGCTGTTGTTGTTGTTGCTTTTTGTTATTTAGCTCTCTTTGCTCTTCGAGTACATTCAACCTGACATCACTTGGCGTTCACTTGTTTAGCTGCTCCCCAATGCATGACACGCCCTGCCAGAACGAACGAACGAACCCCCCTGTTTTGCCTGCCAGACAGTAGAAAAACCAAACAACACTTGAGTTTGTCTGCCTTCTATAGGGTATTTCTAATTAGTCAATGGGAGGCATGTAATGCATGCAGCATGCGGGGTAGATCAGAAAGTCATTGAAATAGCAGCTATATAGCGATAGTTTAATTGAAATAACTAATGTATGAGAGATTGTATATATATTGAAGAGGATATATGGATATAGATCTATCTATCTATATATAACATTAAGTCATGCCCATTCCTCATTCACAATTTCATTAATTCTTGACGTGAGAGGGTAAAGGTTTGACTACTTGCCAAGTTTTAATTGAGACTGATGGCCTTTTTGTATTATAGATAAAATATGGATAAATTTCTATTATTATTATCAAGTCCTAGTATTGGAATATCTTGTATTGTCCAGTTCTATTAGAGACTACTGATGACCTTTTTATAGTACAGATATACTATAAATACATTTCTCTATGCATAAAACATATTCTACTATCAAAATATCGCATGATATGATTATAATAGCCGGAATATTCGATATGATTTACATGCTCTCTGATATTAAATTAGAGTTCTATTTTCCTAATTGATTTAGAGCAAAGGCACGCTCGTCGTTGTTTAATATCACAAATGTATCTGTCGAATACTTTTATGACTGCATGCACCATATTATAGCCATATTAGTATACGCCAGTTAGACATCACAAATCTATATTTGTATATATGTATTCGATAGGGTATATATTATTCGTGCTGTCTTTCAACTCATTGTTTTCGCCTCTCAATTGATTTAGGGCTGTTTGTGTGTTTCCTTTTCGTTTTTTTTTAATACAATTGAAAGCACATGTGGCATATGAGATATTGTCTACCCGCAATCAATAACTAATTTTAGACGCTGTTACATATAGTACCCCAGCCAGTGCAGCGAGTCTGCCTCGTACACCCCCATGGAATGCTGCCACATAATTTATCCATATGTGCTTTTTCGCACCCTTGACGCATATGTAACAGATATGTATATATGTGAATGATATATAGGTATATATCATATCTGATTTAAGGCTGCACATTAAAACAGAAATGCTGTGTGGCAGCTTGCTGGAATTTAGTCTGGCCTCAACATTACATTTTATTATCATACATATATATATTTATATATGTATTTTGGGCAACATTTATTAAAATATTGCCACATTTATTAGTTTTGGGTTACCTGAGCAGCGCTTGTAACCTTTGACCTTTTGCAGTATTTATGAACTGTTGTTGTTGTTCTTGTTGTTGTCGTTTGTTGCTTTTATTACAGATTTTCTTTTCAATTTGGGACTTGAGACTCCATTTTACACAAGCAAAAGCAATTTCGTGTGCTCAGACTTAAAAAAAAAAAGAGAACGAAACGAAACGAAACTAAACATAAGTAAAATACTTGAGCCGGCACTTGAGGCAGGAGTACGACTCCAAGGCATAATTACATGTGGTAGCTCGGGCTACCTCAATGTGTCTTATTTGTTAACCAAACTTCTCGCTGTTAAACAGCATAATTACATGCCACACACACATGCACAGAAATGCAGAGTTGCAACTGCAACAGCAGGTAGACAAGACACAGACAGACAGACGGACGGACGGACGGACGGACAGTTGGTCTCGAGGGACGGTACGAGTTTTGTCTAACTATTGCGTGTCAGACAAAGTTACATAGTTGCAGTCCAGTTGACTGACTGTCTGTCTAGCTCACTCCCTCTCTCCCTCTCGCTCTTCAGCAGTTCTGCCTGACAGCCCTTAGACTATAACTCTTTCTACGACAATTTTGAATGCCAGACACGAATAGAATTTGTATAAGCAGCAGTAGCAGCAATCGAAGCAGTTGACTTCCTGTGCCCAAACTACTTACTTATGTAAATGGAAAATCAGCTAGTCAAGCCAGTCACAATAATGCACAGGTAGCACGTTTTTTCTGATATATCTTCTTTCAGCTTTTGGGTAGATAAATGAAGAGCATTTCATTTTAAAGGTGGGTAGCTCAGATCGAAGTAATTTGAA